CCTGGCGCTGTCGTCCTCGCGGGCAGCAGGGTGGGTAATAAATGATTTATGCGTGGTCCCTGCCCTCCCCTGCCTCTCTCCCCTGGCGGTGCTCGACCCGCCGCGCGCACCCACCGTGATCCGGGTCAGCCCCCCACCCCCGCACCCCCTTTGCCACTCTCCAACCACCCCCCACCTCCCCCATGCCGTGCGATCCCCCGGGTCCTCTAAATCAGCGGCAAAACATATCAGTGTCAGTGGGTGACAGCGGGGCGGGGCGCGACGGACACTGCGGCAGCAGACCACTGGACACGCGCGCGACAGGAAATTTGTATTGTATTATTTCCACGGGTGAGGACGTGGGGTGGGGTATATGGTTCAGAGAGTCCCGTTTCGTTACTAAGTGTATACCTTCACGTCTGCGTACGTTTTAGCTTCGTTTGAAAAACGTCGTTTTAATGTTTGACGGGGTTTTTCTTTTGCTGCAGCTATATCCAAGGAGGACTCGGACCACTCCAACCGGGGCGCCAAGCTGCCCTTCAACGGCTACAGTGACGAGTTCCTGGACCGGCTCGAGCCCAACGGCAACATCCCCAACGAGAAGGACTGCAGATTCGGTGAGTTTGTACGACGGCAGGCTGAGGGAGGGCCCCCACCACAGGCCGGGTAGGCCACCCGTCGGGCAGCGCTGCAGACCGGCCGGGCTATGCCACGCTGGGCAGGCGCGCCGCCTGGGCCATGCTGCCCCCACCGCCCTTCATTGATTGTAATTCGAGTTTGTTTCTCTGTGTGTGTGTGTGTGTGTGTGTGTGTCTGTGTGCGCGCGCGCGCGCGCCCGAGTGTTAGGAGATGCACGACCGTGCGCGTAGAGTCGTGTTCACCATGTGTTGCAGTATGTGTAGGCGAGGGGGTGATCTAGTAGGTGTGGGGGGACAACATAAACCTACCTTCCCCTTCCCTACCCCCCCTCCCACCTCGCCCGGGCAGCGGGACATGGCGAGCGACATAATTACAGCAGAATGTGCGCCTCCCAGCCTCCTGCAACACACAACCCCCCTCTTCCCTTCCCGTATTCCCTCCGTCTTTTTCTTCATCCGTCCCGCCCCACCCGCTTTCCGACCCCCCGTTGCTTTGATCTACTCTGGGGGTAAAAACACTCTTCCTTATCGCTCTCTCTCTCGCTCGCCCTCCCTCCCCGCCTTCCCCGCACTAGTGATTGGGTGGCGTGGAGGGGGGGGGGGCCACTGCGGGCGTGGCCAGGCTCGGCATTTGCATAGCAAAGGGGCTGAGCTGGGCGTCCGCGACTGTGAGACTCACATTTTTGTTGTCTCCCCCCGCCCCCTAGCCCTAGTGTAGTGTTGTGTGTGTAGCCTATGTGCGCGTAATTTACTTCACTCGCTTCGGCCGCTACGCGCGTTTCTGCAGTTAAAGTTTATCTTGAGCTTGAATTGAACGGAACTAGGACTAGAAGGTGGGGGGACAACCCTCCCACTGCTGACCCGTACACACAGAACGCGCAGGATCGCGACGACGGCCATGCGGCCAATCTGTAACTTTTCAATTAATCACTCGCCACTGCAGTTTTGTTTTGTGTTATTTTGGGGGCTGCAGCAGCAGCACGTTCAGTTAAACGGCAACTTGATTGGGTGGTGGGAGGAGGGGGTTGATCCCCCCAGTCTTACTATCCTCCCCCTTTCCCTTCGCTCTCACCGGTGGCCCTTCGCCGTTTATTCGCCCGTTATGCCCCGCCGCCGAGCTCGCAAGACTTCCCCGGGTTATTTATGCCCCACAAGAAAGTTTCTTTCCCCGATAGGTTTATCGCTGCGCCCCCACCATATTTGGCTGACGTCGTGTTTTACACGCTCGTTGGCTCGGCCCGTGTGTCGCGCGCGTCCCGCCTCCGGAACCGAATCGGACGAGTGACGTCCACGCGATTTGGGATTCGGGACGCAAGGCCCTCGCCTCTGGAAACAGCCATACGGACACGACAGCGACAAGCTGGGGCGCGGGGCGGGCGTGGGGACACGGCGGCTATGCAGGCCAGCCAGCGCACGTGCGATTCTCTCACCGAGACTCTCTCTCTCTCTTCGACCCGCGGCCCATAAATTCTGTGCGGCGCTGCCGTTCGCCGTCCGCTCGAGCGGTAATGTGTGCGGAACTGCATCGCCTCAGTGGGCTGGGCGGGGGCTTGGGAGGCAGCCTGCTGGAGGCTGCAGAGGTTGCTGAGGATACACAACAATTCTCAGTCTGCGTGGCACATTTGGCAAATATGGAAAATAAGTTGAAAGCCGTGCCAGTTGTGAAAAACAAGTTCTGTGGTGCTCGAGGTTGTTTATTCTATTTGGAAAACGGTGTAATTCCCATGTATCCGGTCGTTACTTCCTCTCCTCTCTCCTGTTCTCCAGTAGCGCTACTGGAGTCGCTGGAGCTCCCCCGCCCGGGGAGGCGACCTCCTCGGGGTCGTGAGCGCCTGCCGCGCCCCGGCGCAGCCCAGTGAGGGGACGTGGCTCGGCCCCCTTCGCTCCATCCCCTCTCTCTTTCTCTCGGCCAGGCCTGCCACCCCGCCGCTGGCGCCATCCCTCCCTCTCTCTCGCTCTCTTTTCCCCTACCATATCCTCCTCACCGCCTCGAGGAGGGGAGCTGGTCCTGGTCGCAAGACAGACTTGACGTTTTTATTGCCCCTCGGCCGCGGTTGGTTCTTGTGGGCCTGGCCGGTCCTCCGCGCACAGCCTTCGCACAACCTCCAGACAGCCTCCGGACAGCCCGTCGGACGGAGGCCGGCTTGAGGGCTGGACTACAAGCGGTTGACGGGATGCTCCCGCCCGTATCAGCAACAGCGCTGCCTTGCTCCAGGCACCCGTCTCGGGCGGGGGAGCCGAGCAGCGTTTCCGTTAAAGACCGCCCACTTCCTCTGCTATTTCCGGCGGCGGCCCCCGTTTCGCTAAGCCCCCCGCCGCGCCCCCTGACACGATACCCCAGCCCGGCGGGGCCTAGCGGACGATAAATGGTGGCTCTAGATATGAATTAGAGTCTTGTAATTAGAGCTTCGCACCTGGGGGCCTGGGGCCCCAGGCCTCCCCACCACCCCTCCTGTTGCATCGCTTTATGGTGCAGCCGGCGCGTCCCCAGGGCAGCATCTCCTACTCGACTGTGTGTGCCGGTGGCGCGGCGGCGGTGTCCTCAAATCCAAATATTAGATGGCGTCCCCACCCCTCCGCAGCCGCCGCTGGGACGGAACGCTGCCGAGGGAGCGCGCCGCGCGTTGACGACTCGCTGGAGACTGACGTCATCACATGGCAGAGCGAGCAAATACCCCCACCCCTCACCCCCACCACCCTCAACCCCCACCGCGCCCTCGCCCTCAGAGCTGTCCACGGGCGTATACCGTTTTACCGTGCTCAATTCTTCCTACCTCTCGTCTCTTTACTTTGCTTTTCTAACCCCGGTACCCAACCCCTCCTCCCTCCTCCCTCTATTCTACACTTCTCCTTACTGCTCTATCTTTTTCCATCTCTCTGTCTTCCCCTTTCTCTCTCTCTCTCTCGCTCTCTTTGCCAAAGCAAGGGCGGGAACCTGATGTGCACTCTGAGTGCTTCGGCGGCCAGGCGAGCCCGAGCCGAGTGGAGCTGACCGAGTCGAGCCGAAGCGAGCCGAGCCGGCCGTGCCCCGGCGAGATTGAATCACGTCACAACAGGCCCGTGCGCCCTGCCGTATCCCGAGTATCGGGAAGTGAAGAAATAGAGAGAGACAGAGAGACCCGTACAACGAACGGAGAGCAGGGGATGAAGACAGACGGAATACCGCACGAGGACGGATAGAGAGAGCGAGGTGAGGACAGACTATGTAAGGGGTAGGGTTTCTCTTCAGCCCGGACGCCGTACCTCTCTTATTTCTCACAATATATTCTGCTCCCGTGCTGTGTGACCTGCACACGGTGCTCTCTCTCTGTATCTCTCGCTCGCTCGCACAGCCAACATGGCGCCAGCACCACACGCCCGCTCCGCCCGAAACGACAAACTACTCGCGAGTAAAGAACCAAGTTTGTTCTCTCCCCTTTTGTCAGTCAGGCGGTGGCAGCGCGGGCTTGGCTTTTGTGTCGTGTGTATCAAAAGTAAGCGCTGCTAGTGCGCCTGGCGCGCTGCTGCTCGCATCCCCTCCTCCCCCTCTCTCTCCCTCCTTCTGTCCTCTCTGCCTCTCTCTCCTTCGTGTCTGCCTTTCTCTCTCGGTCGCTCCTTCAGAGGCACCGCAGCCCCGCCCGAGAGGTGTCGCGCTGGCATCTCGTGTATCCTGGCGTGTTCAAGTGGGGCGGGCGTTAGGGAGCCCGGCGCAGCCCGGGCCGGAGAGTGTTCCGGGTCCACCCTTGGGACACCCCTTGCCCCAGCCCCCGCCCGCCCGGAAGGATGAGAACAGCCTGGGGATTGCTGGCGGTGGGCCAGCAGGCCTAGTGCCATGAGCCACCGGCAGCCACACCACACCGAGACTGATGGCGTTCTCCTATAGTTTCAGTACTGTCTCCCCTGTTGGTAATAACCTGCCGGTTTTAAGCATCCTGACAATCCACTTGGTGTAAACAGCCAAGGGTGTGCACGGCGGGGAGAAAAAAAATAGCCGAAATGGCAGTTGATTCGGGATATACTGGGTGGTTCAATCGCGAGTCGCAAGTTCTGAGATGTTCTGGTTTGTTGGGTTTTACTATTATTGTCTCTGACTATAGGGTGCCTCAATGCACGAGCAAGCGTCATGCCATACAGCCCCTCACTTTCTTACAGACATGAGTGGGGTGAATCAGCAAGAAAATAGTGCACTACATGTAGTATAAAAAAAAAGTAGCAAAGAACAAATAAAAGTTGGCTCTCCAACTGTAGCTTTACCCTTGTGTATGTATTTAAGTAAATATTTAATTCGAGGCATCATTATTACAATCGTTTTTACAATTAGTAATGCATAACAATAATTCCGAATAATTCTTTATGGATCGACGACAGTTGAGCGCAGTCCAGGGGCTGCCGGAAGCCTGGCCTCGCCCCTCGAGCCCGAGCGCCCTCCCTCATTGACAGACGGGACGGAAGGTTATAAGGATGGAAAGATAGATATGGACGTGGTCCTGTTCAGTCCACCCCGTCCCCGGTAACGATGTGCCGGAGGGGTGTGTTGACTGAGGTTCCACCCCTCGGCCACCCTCTGCCCTGCCACGCTGCTGCGCCTGGACGGGGACGGGGCGCGACACGACACGACGGACTGAGCGGCCACCATTCTCCTGGGGTCCCCACGGCACAGCGCGGTGGCGGCCCTGCAACCAGAGCAAGATGGATCAGATGTCGCCGTCTGAATTAAGGGCCTGCTGCGCACTGGGGGGCTTGCTGCTGGCCGCGGCTGGCGTTGCCATAAGCCACAGCCCCCGTTGCGGTGCGAGGTCTGGACCGACCGTCGGCCGACGCTCATCCCCACCCCCTTCATTCGCCTGCACCC